AATTTCTCGTACTATCTATAACAGTTGATATAGTATAAAAATTTGAACATATAGTAATAGGAGGTGATCGTATTATACTAATACTAATACTAAGAAGCTTGTTTCATGAATGATTCGTTAAATATTTCATAATCAATACCTTACTGACCTTTTGAGACTTTTCAATTAGAATATCACGTACAAATACACTTTAATAGAAGAAAAAAGGTTTATTTCTTTTTACTTGAGAAAGAAACTTTACATTATTTTTATTATCACAAAAGTTTAGACCCGAATTTTACAATTTAATGAATTGCTTAAATTTTTGTTCTAAGCGTACTAATAATATCACTGTAACTCAAGTTTATACAACCATATTTACTCATTTCGTTATAAGTTGATGGTTTGAGTCCATATTTGTTTGCCAGATCTACGTGCAATTTTTCAAAGAACCAGCACATAAGATCATTAAATAAGTGTTGGTAGTGAGATTCAAATCTCCAATCCTTAAAATCATGAGCTTTTACAACGCTCCAAGGTGTTGGGTCCTCCTTGCCAAAATACCACACACCCACATTATCTTCCAATTTATGACATGGCATTGCAACTAGTTCTTTCGAACCTCTATAACTGAACCTTGCAAGACCACCAGGTTGATGGCTAGTATGATGTCTTTTTGTTTCACCACTATCATTATGATGACCCAGAGATCCCCAGCACAAAGCTCCACAAAAATAACATGCTTCTGTGCATCCAAGTATCTCCATGATTGATTTATCATTAGATGGGGCTTGAAAAGGCACATTTCTTGTATAACAACCACCCCTTTTAGTTTCAAGCTCTTCCTCAATGGCATTATAGAATATATTTAAATCTTCATCATTTATGTCTTCAAGATCCAATTTGTAATCCATTTTATCAACTTGTGTCATGTAATCATTTACAAATTTTTTGATTTTTTCAAAACTTTGACAGTTGCGAATTTCTTGAAAGACTCGATTGAATTCTGCTCTAAAGGTATCATTGTATTTTTGCTCAGGATTTCCACTTGCAATACCATCAACTGTACGTTTAAACCAATCTTCTATGCATTTCTTTGGCTGTGAAAAAAACTTTATAGCTTCTTTTTTATCACCATTTTGAACTTGTTCAGCAAGTTTTTCAAAATATTTGAGTCTAACTGATTCAGCACATGTCAACCAACCAATATCACACACAGCTTTTTTTCGCTCAAAGCTTCCTGCATCAATTGCTTTTTTATGAATAACCCTCAATAAATAGTCTCCAATAATATGGCCCTCAGAAACAAGTGTATGTCCATATTGAAGCCTAGTATCAATCATCTTTAAATATTCCTCTTTCTTTTGATCAAGAATGCCAAGTGGAGTATTATCCATGTCCCATTGTTTTTGAAAATTTACCATTTTTGGTTTAAACTTCAACAAAGCATATAAGTAAGTATTCCATTTGAAATCTGGCAAAAAAGTTATCTGAAGAATTTTTGAATTCTCATTAAGTGTTTTGTCTATTTCTTTTGTGAGGTCACGCACAATTCCAGGGTAATAATGATAAGAAGCCCTTTTTTCTAATATTGAATCTACCAAATTATCAAGCTTTTCCTGGAGAGTACAGATGTCTCTCAATTCCAAGCAATATGAAGAGTATGAAAAGCATTTAAATTTTTTATATGCATCGCACTTAGATAAATCTGGAGAGTTTCCATTCATGTATTGTTGATAGAATCCTACTGACGATAAATGAGAACACGCATCTTTGACCTCCTTATCTATTTGATCCACTATTGGCTTAATGTTGTATTTTGATAATATGTTATTTCGCAACAAACTCCATATTTCTTCAACTTCTTTTTTACGTTGATAATCTGTCAATCGTCTACCACTTGGCATATTCCTTAGAATCCCTTCTAAACGGTTGTTAATTATGTCAAGAGATTCGGATGAAATACCTTTTCGGATGAAACTGGCATCGAGCATCTGAGTGAGTTTTATGGATGCAGAATGACGATTGAGTTTGATATAATCCTCAATTGTTTGTTTGGTTTCTATTTCACACATTTCATTATTCTTATCTTTGAGGTACTCTTCCAATTCAATCCTTTCCTTGTTTATACTATCAACGACCCAGACAGTGAAATTGTATTGAAGTTGCCAGAACTTTACGCTCAACTACTGATTGGTGGCCACACCATAGAATTACTTGATGGTGATGCTGGATCTATATCTGAAGCTTGGTTCTCAGCCATTTGTGGGCATATTTGTAATGCATATCCTAGACTTAGAATTTTTGTAGTCAGCATACTTGGCCTACAATCATCAGGAAAGTCAACTCTCTTGAATGCTCTTTTTGCATGTAGATTTGCTGTTTCAGTTGGGCGTTGTACTAGAGGTCTTTTCATGCGATTATTGTTTTTGGAAAAAAATTTATCCGACCAACTTGGCGTTGATGCATTTGTCCTAATTGACACTGAAGGTCTTGGTGCACCAGAAAAGATGGATGACCCAGAATCGGAAAAGAAAGATCGAATATTAGCAACTTTTGCAATGGGTGTAAGCAATTTAACAATTCTCAATGTGCTTGGAGAATCAACACGTGACTTGACTGAGATTTTGCAAATAGCAATTGTAACAATGGCACGTCTTGAAGAAGCTGGAATAGCCCCTGACATTATGATGGTGCAGCATGTTTCTGAACGAAATGCAGCAAGACTGTCTGAGCCAGAAGAAAAATTTCGGGCGGCTCTTCAAGAGGCTTTGAAAATAGCTAAAGAA